ACACTTCAAGGAAGCATAAACACATACAAGTGCTTCTTGTAAGTACTCTTGGTAATATATTTTAACTAAATATATCTGGTAGTGAATGACTGTCAACCATTAATTGAGTTGGCTTATATCTGTTGTACCTCTTGATAAGAAGGTGCCAGTAACCAAAATATTTTTAGGATTACATGGTAGATTAGAGGCAGAAAACATGTCTGTTCATCTTATTCCTTTGTCATCTTTGGTAAAATAGTGTGTTGTACTACCCAATAATTACAGAGTATTTTGTTTATTGGCAGGAGACTGAATTAATTTTGCTCTAATTGCTCATTCATTTGATCAACAAATATTTAGTGAGCACCTATAGTGTTCCAGGTACTTAGGTAATGCAGAGAGGAGGTAGTTCACTGCTGTGGTTGGGTTTTTGCCTTTACCAGTGCAAATAGTAGCAAAGTAAATATGAACCATATGTGTTCACAAAGTCACATGTTTAGGCCCTGGAGAAAGCTGTGTTGCAGGATAATAGTACCTGCTCATTAATCCCTTATTTTGTGCTTTGTCCCCCGTGTGTCCCCAGGAGGTCTTAGGGTAGAGGCAGACTTGTCCTGGGTGTGTAGAGGCTGCAACTGTGATTCAGAGCAGGTAAATGGTGCTTCGAAGGTCATCTGCCTAATCAATAAATTGTACAGCTTGGATCTGAACCCATAGCACTGACTGTACAATTCTGCATTAAAATACCATCGCCTTTATTTCTAAATTTAATGTCTTTTAAGAAATGTTTCCAGTGTTGTAAAATGCTAAGTCTATAATTAACATAAGGCTATTTTCAGTAGCTTTTGGCCGGCTGTATTGACAGCTCCCGTCCCCATCCCACTCAGGCTTCCTTCAGTTTCACAGTGATCATTTCTGAATTCTGAGAAAGATGAGTGAAGAATAATGGAGGGGCCGGCATTCGGGCACAGGAGGTTAAGCTGCCACCTAGGATGCTAGCATACCATATTAAAGCGCTGGCTCACGTCCTGACTGCTCTACATCCTAGCCAGCTCTCCTAATGCACCTGAGAAGGCAGTGAAAGAGAGCCCAGGCACTTGGGCCCCTGCCACCCACATAGGAAACCTGGAAGGAGCATTCTGGCTTAGGGCTTCTGCCTGGACCAACTCTGGCCATTGTGACCACTTGCGGAGTGAACCAGTGGATGGATGATCTTACTTTCTCCCTCTCTCTGTCACTCTGTCCGTTAAATAAATAAGAAAATAAATCTGAAAAAAAAAAAATCTTTTTGAGGTGGCTTCTTTTTGGGAACTGTGCTTTGCCTCTGTCAATTTACTTGTCACAAGTCAATAAAGCTGTCCTCTGAGCAGAAATAAATAAATAACTTACTTCACCTCCATTGAAATTTTACTGTTTACCAGTAATCAAGCTTACTATTTGAAAGGAGTGTTAAGTTGCTGCGGCATGGAGACTAAAGACAAAACAACAACTCGCCTGTTTATTTGTGGTAGTCATGAATTCCAAAACAACTTCTGGGCTCCTTCACTATGCCTGGCCCAGGAAAAATACTGCTGCTCCACTAGGGACCTCACAAGGTGAAGGGAAAGAGAAGAGGATGTTTTTCCTGGCAATACACTTTCACAGGGGATGCCCTTGAAGGACTCCTACCTTCAGATTCCAAGTGAGCAGTGCACGGGGTTCTGGAGAGACTCAGAGACTGGAGAAATGAGTCAGGTGGAGAAGTCGGGGAAAGGTGTCGTCAAGAGAGCACACCCTACGTAAAGGTTCAGAGTCCGGGGAGTTTAGGGAGCCCTGGGGAACAGGACTGCAGGGTGGGTGTGGACAAAGCGTAGCCGGAGGTGAGGCTGGCGGAGATGTCAGGGGAAGGAAGGATGCATCCCGGGCCTTGTTGGGAGGTTTGAAAGAATGGCAGTCACTGAAACAGGCGTTGCTGCGTAGTTGGATTCGAAATGGAGATGTGAAAACCAGATTAATGCTCTGTCCGACATGATGCCTCTTTCACCATGACTTCCGCTTCCATTCTTTACAGAGCTGGGAGATGATTCTTCTCCTCGTGGGTAGTTCTCAATATGTCTCGTGCATTATAAGGGGCTCCCTTTTGATTTCTGTGTATAATATAAGGGCACTTCAAAAAGTTCATGGAAAATGGAATGAGAAGATAAGTCTGGTGCAATTTAAAAAAACTCCATATAAATCTTTTCATTATAGGCAATATCCATGAACTTCTTGAAGACTCCTATTGATCATGTTGATTACAGCTACACTGATCAAATTAAATCACTTAGGGGTCTTATCATCTTCATGTCACATGAGTCACTCATTTATTAGTTATGCATTTGGCCAGGGAAAACAAACGTGCTTCCCAGGTCATCAGTTCCACAAATTCCTGTATACTTAGGAACACTTAAGGACCTAGATGCACCATTATGAGGTGCTGCAAACTCTCACTTAGCAAGTTTCAAAAACCCTTTACTATCTTTCTAATGGAACCGTGCAGCTAATAACTGGGGCGGTGGCAGCGGGATGGGGGAAAGTTAAAATCGCCTCTCCGGTGTACCCAGATGGCAAATGCAAGAGGTCCTACTAGCTCTCTCCTCCCTTGCCAGCATAAACAGGATGGAGCCGCTGGGAGAGGAGGCGCAAGGATTTAACAGCAAAGTGACAGACCTACCTCTGAGCATTGCGCCTAACCGGGGCCACTCAGACCTGGCTAGGCAGCCCCAGCTCTGCACGGCGCGGTTCTCTGCAGTCACCTCTCGGGGAAGCACCGCCTAGTCCCTCTCCGTGGTGTGGAGGAGTTGAAAAACCCGCGTCCCAAATAAAGCCAAACCCCCAGTGATCCTCCCCGCTGGTCTCCCTTAGGGAGAGAAAAGCCGCAGTCCCTCGGCGGGGCAGCTTCCCAACCTCCACTCCGGGCCAGGCCCTCCCTCTTTTTCCCCCTCCTTCCACCTGACAGGGACCATAAATAACTAGGGCTCCTAGTGTTCCCAGCAGAGAACAAAGTTGAAAGTTTGCCTGGAGCTCCCAGCCACTCCCCGCCTGGGCCACGTCTTTGTTTTCTTCTGATGCTTAGCCTCTACCTGGTTTGGCTGTTTTCTTCATTCATATTTGAGAAGAGTGGCTTCCTAATTAAATGCAGCGTCCTGCGCGCGCAAGGTCCCTACATTGCAGGCTGTCTCGGTTACCGGGTTAGGCATCCGAGCCCGGGTATCAAATTACCGAAAGTCTACACCGGAGCAGCCCTCATATTTACATACAAATAACTCATGGGCATGCATTTATGTCACCATTCGGCCCTTCTAGAGGCTTGCCCGAGGAGTTTTTGATCCAATCACAAGGCGCTTTAAAAGGATGTCTGCGGAGTGATCAAAAAGGATCTTAATGAAGTGTTGCCAGGGTGTTTTTTTTTTTTTTTTTTTGGTCTGAAGTTTCGAAAATTTTCGAACTCTTATGAGTGGGAAAAGATGGGTGATTCCTCAGCTGCCTACGAGGAGATGGAGCCGCTGAGGGGCACTTGGTGGTGGTGAAGAGAGGATCCGACCCAGGCACTGGTTTGCTTGGGCTGTTTGGAGGTTGATTGCAAATCACTGCTTAAGGAATTCCTGGAAACATCAGGAAAGCGGTTGATCAGGCCAGCCCGGTGGAAATGGCTTTTCCAAAGAGTAAGATCGTTTCAGTTGTTTTTGGGGTGTGCTGTTTTTGTTTCCGACGCCGTGGAACGTGCAGATAGTCCAGATGTAAATAATTACTTAAAATAATCTCTTGGTACTGGGAAGCCGTGGAAAGCTGATCTGTTGAATTTTTGCTTTTGCAGAAACAGTAGTTGACAGTGTATTTTTAGACTTGATTGGTAGTTTAAAAGCTGAGTGTTTGTGGTTTCCTGAGTTGCAATGAATGGAAAATTGTAAGCGGTACTAAATGAAGAAATAGAAAAATGTTACGGGAGGGAGGGGGGAGTGGGGTGGCTGAATCACTTACCTTAGAGAACGCAGAGCATACACACTCCTGAGGTCTCTTGCCGCCAGCCAAGCTTGTGTCCAGAAAGGGAGTAAGGGTCATGAGAAAGAGAGTTGGCTCGTGTGTGGAAGGCACTTTGCTGCAGCCTTAGCTACATTTTGAGAAGGATGGGAAAACATCCCAGAGGGCAAAAGACCATTGAAAAACCTGCCCTGTCACTCGTGGAATGTGGTTTTTCCCGGTGAGGTCACGTTTCACATATGCCGCTCGTAAAAGTCTTTTTACGTAATTAACTCTTTGTGCTGAAACTTGAAGAACAATTTATAGAACCCTTCTCTCAAGTTGCAGGACCCCCCCCCCCCCCATTTTATCTCTGTAGAAGAGGAGAGGTGCTTTCCAAGCCATTTCAATCGCTGGGACAGCTGGCCTGAGTCGTTAACTTGATAGGCTTAGAGACGGTTCGGAATTGATGTGTTCCAGGGCCGCCCAAATGGGCAGTTATAGCGCACAGAAATAACTTGCTGGTTTTGTACACAAGTCCCAAGATGAAATCCTGTATGGGAGAGAGCCAGGTTGTTTTGTTTTGTTTCTTTCTTTTTTTTTTTTTTTTTGAAAAATAAATAACCTGTTCCCTTCCCACCTGTAATTTCAAGATCAGTCATGCGGAGGTGGCTCTTACTTTGCAATCTATTTCCATTCAGATGAGCTGCTCTCATCATGGGTGGGGTGAGCTGAACTCTGGGTGACAGAAAAGATCCACCCTGCCGGGACTGGGGCTTAGGGAGGAGGGAAGCTGGGGCAAAGTTCTAAGAGGAGAGCTTAACACCTGGAGGTCTTTCCACCGCTTACATTCACCCTTGCATTTCTGTACTAACCTCTGCAATACTTTTCCACCCTAAAGGACAGTTAGGAAAATTTACCCAGAGTATAGAGAAGGTGACTGTGAGGCCCTGGGTGATTTGCTGAGCCCAGGAGCAGTTTTCCCCTCGACTGACGTATATTCAGGAAGGAAGTTTCTGACTTGAGCTTGCTCTGTACCTCTGCAGGTGAGGATGCCATGACGGGGGACACAGACAAGTATCTTGGGCCGCAGGACCTTAAGGAACTGGGCGATGACTCCCTGCCCGCAGAGGGCTACATGGGCTTCAGCCTTGGAGCCCGCTCTGCCAGGTACTTTATTGTTACTGGTTTTCATTATTGATTTAAAACAAGCATGATTTGTCATCAAGCCAGATCACTTTCATTTTTCACGTGTCGCAGGATGTGCTCTTTGGATGGGGCTGTGAGTTTGGTAAAATGCTCTGGACTCAGCTATACCTGCTGTGCTCTTGTGTGGTTTTCTGTGTTAATCTCATGCGATGGAACATGTCAATCATTTGTTCTTTCCCCCCCATTTGCAGTCATGCTTCAAGCCTAGTAACCAGTGAGTTCGCTGACAAAACTGGGAGAACCAATTTGGGTCCCATATTTCAAAATAAAATTTTGCTTTATATGGAGGAAGCTCAAAAAGTTCATAGAAGTAAAAGATAAGTTTATTTCAGTGCAAAAAAAAAAAAAGAATCCACGCATGTGAAAAGTTTTCAGAAAGGTCACAGAAAATGCAAATTATGAAAAACTGTGCATGGGTTTCAATTCTTTTTGCATGAAAATAAACTTACCTTTTCATTCTGTTTTTCCACAAACTTTTTGAAGACCCCTTATGTTAAAAGAAACTTTTTTTTTGGCAAATAGTGAAAAAGATACATATATGGATTGTTCAGTTTTCATTACTGAAAGAATATTTCATAACTAAGAACTAAAAGAGCATTCATGAAAAACTGTGGATTAAAGTTGTCTAGCAAATGTTCAAAATAGTTCCATTATTTTGTGTACAAAGGAACATTTTAGGGTACCATGTGACAACAAAAGTCACAGACAAGTATGGTGGCAAATTCATTCCTTCCAACCGAAGCGTGAAACTTCTGTGCGTGCAAAACCTAGAGTCAAACTTTCCTTGTCAAACAGGACCTTGTCCAGAATTTGGAGACTTCTTTTCTCTGGTGTGGATTAACAGCATGTTTGCTGACAGTCAAGTTATTTTAAAGCTAATAATTAAACCTTCTAAGCCAGAGCCCTGAGGACATTTTCCTATAGTTTAAGGATCTGTTGTAAAAAGTTTCATTGTCTAATAGTGAGTGGCACTTCCCGCAAAGTAAACCTTGGAGTTTATTCCCTGTGTTGTTGGTATGGCTAGTTTAGATATGGAATTGATTTTTATGATGTAGTCTTTTTAAAATTTTTTTCAGAGAATTTTGAACCTCATAGAACTTAGTAGAATATTTTCTTTATAAGTACATTTACCATAGGGTTTCATTAACAAGGAGAGACATCACTTTTTAAAAATAGGACACGTTTCAGGTAATCATGCAGAATCTTAACTAACCTCAAGATCCTGTAAGATCTCGTGTCTGTCTTATTTAGAAATTTATAGCTTTTGTAAACCAATAACTAGCTGTCTTCTCTTCTTCTGATTATATAGGACACATATTGTGAATCAATCCTTTGTATGTAGAAAATTGTAGCCACTGGTATCCAGTGAGATATGAAAGCGGAATAGTGCCTCTTATAATGTCTTTTTGTGAAGAGAATTCCAAGATGTTCATATTTTGATTGCACCATTTTTTGTTGCTATTATATGTAGCTTATTTTTTTACATTGGCTACTCATGTTATGCTCAGAGGCAAATATTTAAAGCCTACAAAGCCAGTATTTTTAAAAGTGCATTGTTAGAGGATTATCCGATAAAAAATTTCTGAGTGTAACATTTAAAAAGGAATACATCAAATGTGTAACTCATTCAATCATAACATTTTTTTTTCTTTTTTTCCCTGTCTGATTTTTTGCTTTCTATTTCTCCTGGTTTTGTTTCTAAAAATACTTTAAAATAGTCCCAAGGTCAGGTAAGAAGATGTGGCGTTGTTACACACCCTCCCCTTCCCACACCTTTCTCATCTTGGTTTTCTTCAGCCTTGTGATGTGACGTGCTGTGATGTGCTGCAATGTGCTGCAATGTGCATTTTTGTTTTCTGCTCAGCTTCTGTAAATCCATTTTGCCATTCTGAGAAAATCAGCAAGAAACAAAATATATCATAAGAAATGTTCCTTATGCAACATTGACAGAGTACTCAAGGCATTTCCTTGCCTTAACAAATTTTGTGTAATGCATGAAGTAACTGGAAAAAAAAAAAACCCATGGAGTTTAAAGAAAATCTATTGATTTCAAAGGCTGTTTGTTTGCTGGTTGCTGTTTTATTTAAGTTGTGCCTAGGTCTGTTCCTATAATTTCAGAGTGGAGAGGCATGTTCTTCTAACACTTTGTGTATTTAACATGTACATATACTGATGGCTACAAATAATGTAGTTGACCTTAGTTAAAATCAATTTAATTTCTTCCAGGTCCCAAGCACATAATTCCAAAATTAGTAGCTGAAAGTATCTCAATGTATTCAGGATTCATAGAGAAACTTCATGTATTTCATGGGTTCCATCTGCCTAATCCAAATTGGCCTGAAGTAGGAGCTTTGGACGTGATGTAAAACAAAAGCATCTTTAGGCCCTCTGTCCACAGCTCCCAAGCCTGGACTCTGTTCTGCAGCGAGCACTCATATATATTAAAAGAAGGAAGAGATGTTTAAAATCTATCGGCAAATCTGTGGTAGACTTTAAATCTAAAATGAGAATAAATATGTAATTGTTTTTTAAAAACTTTTAAGTGTCCATACATACAATGAAACCATCTCATTCATCACCAGTGTTAACGTATCAGGCTGTGGGAACCATAATTTAAACAAATGGATGCCTGATGCAGAGAAGGGAGCCTCCCGACACCTCTCAAGTCACATGACTGGAGCCAAGTGGAACACTGCTCCTTAGAAACTGTCCTGTCCAGTAGTATAGCCAGTCGCCACACAGGGCTATTTAAATTAAAATTAGTAAAAATTAAATGAAATGAACACTCCAGCTCTTCAGTCCCACCACTTGCCATACTTCATGTGCTCATTGGCCGTTTGTGGTCAGTAGTCACTGTTATTGGACAGCATAGATTTAGCCCATCTCCCTCAAAGCACAAAGTCCCATGGGACGGTGTTGAGTTGAAAAGGCAACTTCTAATCTTAAGAAGCTTCTACAGTGTTTGAGAGAGGGGAAAGGACTGGAAACAAGATTAATGGAAATTGTTGTAGCTGCAATGGGGAAATGAAGAGCTAGGGGTCAGCTAATTGGACACAGAGGGCCTGGTTATGCAAGGGATCAGAGTCACGTGGCTTACCTGGTGAGCTCCTCTGTGTGAGGATAATACTGCCACAGTCATTTGATAAATATTTGCTAAGCATACTAAATAGACTGGAGAATGACTGTTGAGAGAGACTGGAACCATCTGAGATGCTGGCAAAAGCTAAAGCTCTAAGCCTAGAAGAAGGTATCTACCTATCTGTTTAGATGCTTACAATAATGCTTATTAGGGGACTCCGTATCTTGGTGTAAAATAACCACACTTTTACATTGTTAATAGAGTAAGCAGTGGGGAAAAGAAGTCGTTTTGTGCAAAGTGAGGAATCATCCCATACTTACCTCTTCTTTGCTCTTTTCCCTGTCAAACACAGGCGAGTCTAGAGCCGAGATCTAACTGATAGAGTCCGAAAAGAAACAATAAGGCACATTTAAATCCGGGCAGCTTAATATATAGGCAGTGAAAGGGGATACCTTCCGATGCACTTTGTCCCCAACTACAAGAAGACCCACCAGACAGAGGAGGCTAGAGACCTACAGTGCTAGCCGAGGGACACCCATTGGTGAAGAGGCGATTCTTAGAATTCTATTCTCCAGCTCTGTTGCAAGGACTGCAGGACAGAAAACTTCATATCTCAGTAGAGAGAGGGGGCGATGAAAAGCTTCTCATGACAGTGTCCTGGGTGAGATGGGAGAATACTTCCCAACAGCCCCTAACAAGCCTCCTGCCCCTCCCTGGAGGATCATGGGTATTCATTCTGCCACATCTCACATTAATCGCAGTCTGTCCTGCATGACCTGTGTGAATCTATGCCGGGTCTCCAGGGTGGCATGGTAAAGCTGTCCTCCAACAGTCCTTTGCTCTATGGGTTTTTGGTCTAGACGTCAGTGTGATACGTGGTACTTCAGGGAATCAAGGGAGCTGCACTGTGGGGAGTTCAAGGTCTATGTGGAGGAGTTAAGAGGGGCTGGAAAAGAAAACAGTAGGAGGAGGAGGAAGAAAACAGAGCAGAGAAAGGGAAAACAACCATACAGGGCATCTGAGTGTTTGCACGGGGTCAGGCAGATGACACAGAGGATCATGCAAGATACGTTCATTACACTGCTTCCTTCTTGGTGGTTTCCATGAGTGGCCACTGCAAACCAGAGCTCTCCAAATTTTAAACCCATATCTGCTTGCCAAAGACATGAGCAGACACATTCCACCAGACATGATTCCTTTCAATGGTGTAAACCAGACATGGACCAGAAAGAAAGGAGACTCTTACATAAGGCCTTATCCTAGAAAAATCTCCTTAATTATCAATTATCCAGTTATCTGGTTCTTCTCAATTGTCATGTTTGTTCAGCTTCATAGTGAAACATCCAAAGTTTTCACGCATTCCATCTTCTCACAGACTTAACACCAGTGGGCCTAATTGTCAACAAACCTGATCATGAGTTTGTCTACCCCTAAGACATTTCCTCAAACATAAGGGATTTTATTTTTGATGCTTTTCAAGAAAAACATTTGTTGCTATTTTTAGCCATCTTGCCTGTTCTTAAAGTTGCATGCATTAATTTTCTTTTATTCATCTCATCATCATCTACCACTGTGAATGGTTAACTGTAAATACAACAGCCTCCGCTCCTTCAGTTCGGATAGGTCTTACACCTTGAACAGAAGCTCCTATGCGCGGGACAGCATGATGATCGAAGAACTCCTCGTACCATCCAAAGAGCAGGTATGCATCCTTTATAAAATGTTAGATTGTTAAACTTACGTTTGTAGGATGGAATCAAGCATTGGCCTGTGACCACAAAATGCATATATTTTGCCTGTTAAAGTCTTAGAAAAGGCATAAACCTTTCTCATTTCTAGGCAAAATCTATTTAAAAAATTTTTAGGTTAATTAATAATAATTGATAGCCAAGTTGATGATATCCATATGAATATGTATTTTGCTAAAATAAAAACACTGTGTATATATGTTAGATTTTGTTGTAATTGTTTTTAACAAGTCGTTATAGATTAGATGAGTGATGTTGATTTCTTGGCTTCAGGGCTGCCTGTGATGGGCCTTCTCATGAAGCAATGTTATTAAATTTCCTCCCTGAATCTCTGCTAGATTCATTTTATGTTTGTGCACTTTCTTCTTTTTAATGATTATGGTTGACTAGACAATGAGCTGATCTAAGAGGTCCAGCAGCATAACCCTGCAGGAAGATGCAGGATGGCTGTAGAATCATTTCTTGATGCACACGGTCCCTGGTTTTAAATGTGTGTACTAGTGATTTTATGAATTTTGAAGGTGGGTTATAATATTTAAAAAATGTAAAGAATTTGTAAGATCATGCTGGACTGACTTATTCCTTGTACAGTGAAGATGAACAGAAGTCAATGAGTGAGTGATAGTCGCTTACCATAGCCCAGTGAGAGGCTGAGCACTGGGTAGTTGTAGGATGTGTGTTGTACTTTACAGGGACCTACAATTAACATTTTATTTACACTTTCTAAAATACCCTTAAGCAAGGAAACCTTATAGAGGTGAATACAATGATTAGGAAGACCCTTCCCATCCCCTCCACTCCCCCCAAAAAAATCCTTTGTGAAATGAATACAGATCATGTTGTGGGTTTAAGTGGGTATTAGTCCCAGAGAAAGCCTCCGTCTCAAATAATGAAGCTAAGCACTTAGGGTGAGGTGTTGCCCCATAGGTATTGGATGAGACTTTCTGAAGGACTCTGGGCATCATTCACGGTGGTCATTTTCCTAGACTAATACTCCTGCTCTCTTCATGTTCCCAATTGGAATGAGATGTTAGTAGATCATAAGTGCAAAAATGCCTGTTATTCTCCATATCCTAAGGGAGCTTATAACATTGCAAGTGAAAGGAGACACCTTACTCCTGTATATAACGTGTGCCTAGAGACTCCTGATAAAATGTACTTATGGCTCTCACACCATTGCCTATTAGCCATTACCAAGATGTGCTCACTCGGGTCGGATGGAGGGGCAGCATCTACCCAGAGCTGAGGAGTGTGAAAAGAAGCAAAAGGCAAGGAGAATTTACAAAGTAAAACTCATGTTCTTTTGGCCAATTTGTTGCTGCTTAAATTTCAGAAACACCTCTGCCGACTTCCTGAATACTTCTGTAGGCCAGTTGGACGAAAGGAGAGCTAGGAAGTCTTGAAACCTTGAGAAAAAAAAATATCTTAAGGAAAACAGTAAAAAGAGGGAATTCTTTCTTTTAAGGCTACAGAGAGCTCTGTGGACTGCTGCACATTTCTTGTGGAACTAGCATGTTTAACGAGCACATAACGTTACTCAGGCTACACAAAGCAAATAGACAAAAGAGTTGAAAAAAACACATGAAAGAGGCACAGAGCCAGGTTAGGGACAGTGGGAGCATTTGAAAGTGTCTTGGAATATATATTTATATACTATTAGGAAATTATTCAATTTCGGTAGTATTGAAACGATGCAGGAGCTATCTCTATTCTATTCAATGCTGATATTTTCAAGAAAGAAGCAGTTACAAGTCAGCTGTTTTATTTCCACATGGTGCAACCAAAAACCACATGTGTGTGTGTTTGTGTATAGAAAGATGAAGCAAATACTGCCAAACACTAATGGTTGAATCTAAATGGAGGATATATTGGCATTCTTTTGAAAAGTTTGTTCAGCTTTTTAACTTTTACAACAACTGCAAAATAACTTAGAGGAAGAGGAGATGCAAATTCTGAAAAGGGTATGTTAACTTTGTTAGTCCCTAGGTCTCAGAAGAGAGGGGAAAGAGAGGTTGTCAAAACGAAGACTGTAGTTTCACTGTGCAAGACTAGTAAGAAGCATTTACACTAGAAGTACATTTAGACAGTGTCGCTCCCCCTCTTCATGGAGGAACGACACTAAACCCTGCCTAGGCTTCATATCCGAGTCACGGCACCATTATGTCGCTCCCCGTCTTCGTGGAGGAACGACACAGGACCCTGCGCTGTTCTTTCGTCTGCTCGGCCCTCCTTGGGTTTGCTGCTGGTTCTTCCCGGGTTGGCTACCGTCCCTTCCACCTCCGTGGAAGGGCGGTTCCCCCTGCCACTTTCCCCACTTCCGCGGGGGAGCGGCACACCGCCGGCTGGCTCTCTCGGGGGCTGCACAGGTGCTCCTTCAGATAGATGTTCCTGGTGCATGTTGTCTCTCTCCTCCTTTATAGTCCTCTTCCGCCAATCCCAACTCTGCTACCCACATGCCGAGTACGCTGCTCTCCTCCAATCAGGAGCAGGTCCTGCAGTTTATTGGTTGAACTGGAGGCAGCTGTGTAGAAGCTGTTTCTCCCTTCTCAGCGCCATATTGTGGGAGAGCAGATGCATAGAATAAGTCTTAATTCCAGTAACTTAGTCTAGTCAGAGTTGCTCCCAGTTGCTCCCCACAGACAGTTTAAATTAGAATTAAACGATAGCAAAGTATTTACATCTTTTGTGCCTCTATCTCTGTACTTTTACATTTTAAAATGTGGTTTCCGCACAGTAGTGATTTTGTCCAATTGTGTGTCCTTTTTTTTTTTTTTAAACTTTTATTTAATGAATATAAATTTGCAAAGTACAGCTTATGGATTACAATGGCTTCCCCCCCATAACGTCCCTCCCACCTGCAACCCTCCCCTCTCCCACTCCGTCTCCCCTTCCATTCACATCAAGATTCATTTTTGATTCTCTTTATCAATTGTGTGTCCTTGATACCTAGAATTCCTAAAGCAGTGTGCATGGCTTACTGTCAGATTTAAAGCTACCTCATCGTTGCTCACTTAAAGTTTCTCTGACAAGTCAAGGTGGAAAATGAATAAAACGGAACTCTCTGTGCACTTCTCTTTCAATAAGAATAGGCTGCATGCGTACAAAGCACTGTTGCCCCTTTGTTATCCTACTGCTGGTCAGTTTGCACATTAGCCACAGTTCAAGTACAGTGGAGACCCAGGATGAATAGTGTAGGCCCACTGCCCCCACACTCCTAGGCACCTGGGCTGGCTGAAGGCAGGTATTGGTGCCAGGACTGGGGAAGGAATATGGAGACGGGAGAGATAAACCCATCCCCATTCCATGTTGGGCCTTAATCTGGGGTCGGGCATTTGGCATAGTGTTTGGGACAACCACATCCCCTATCAGTGCCTAGACTGGAGCCAGTCCCAGTTCCACTTCCAATTCCAGCTTCCTGCTAATGCAGACCCTGGGAAGCACCAAGTCATTGATGTCCCCAGAAGCTGAGTCCCTCCCACCCAGATTGAGTTCCTGCCTGGTGGATACAGCCTAGCCCACCCTGGCCCTTGTGGGCATTTGGGGAGTAAGCCAGCAGATGGGCGATTTCTCTCTCTCTATGTCTGTCCTTTAGTGTCTCTCTGCCTTTCAAATAAATAAAAAATTTAAGAAACACATGATTAGTCTGTAAAACACTTAACTTACGCCTAGATTGTCAACAGTGGACTCCTCTTACTGTCTTACAGGGTTATCCATGAACTTCCTGCCTGGGACTTATCACCTGTAGATAGGCATCTGAGAATGGATCTGTAAACAGGCTCATGCCTTGAGTTTGTCAGGAGATGTTATTGTCAAAGCAGAAGTGACTCAGTCCAGCCTGGTTAAGAGAATCACTTAGAGAACTTTTATTTATTTACTTTCTCTGTCCCATTGAGTGACAACTGCCACCAGTACAGTCCCACATCAAAGATACAGTCAAGGGTTTTCTCTTAGCACCAGTTGCCAGGGTCTGTCCCCAGTGCCTGGGGGAGGACCTGTGAAAGTGCTAGACTGGGGAATTGTTCAAGACAGTTGCTCAGTTCCGGATTGAATTGGCCTGGCCTGGGCATGGGATAAATGCACCGAGGGTTGAAGGCCACTGATTCAGAGGTTCTCAGCTGGAAGTGCACAGGAGAGGCTCCTGTGGTCTTTTTGTAAAAGGAGCTGCCTGCAGAATCGGAATCTGCATAGCTGGATTCTTGGGCTTCTGTGTTTTTTTTTTTTTTTTTTTTTAAGCTCCATGGGTGTTTCTGGGGTGCACCTTTCTTTAGGAATCCCCCATCTAAGGCCATAGAGACAGGAAGCTTTGTATGCATGTGTTGGCTAATCAGTGTGCAATGTGTGAGTACAGACTTGTGTGTGTCCGGCTGTTTCAGAGCGTCGTCTGTGCTTGGCAGCATTTCACCAAACAGGAGTAATGAAGGAAGGAAAGGGAAGGGTGCAAACTGAAGCCCGAGTGTCTGCATGAATGTTACAGACGACTGCTTTCATTTCTTCTGACATAATTATTGAAAGCGACTGTCTGGTGTGGCTTCTGTAATGACTGTGTGATGCAGATCAGGCAGTCTTCATTACATAAGTGGATCGCTATTCGCTAGATGCCTTAAGTGCCAGGATCTTAAGTGCTGCATCTGGAGAGGTTCTTCGTGTTACGTCATAACATGGCAAGAGCCATCCGTGGTGGGACAGAGCAAAGCGTACTAGCTTGGGTCTCTTCTCCTCTTCTCATAAAGCCACATGTGCCATCGTGGGAGACACCACCCTAACAACATTTAATCCGAATTACCCCCCAAAGACCCTATCCCAAAACTATTAACATATGACTTCGAGGATAAAGTTCACAAACATGAGCTTTTGGAGAACACATTCAAACCATAGCAGCCCTCATGAGATAGATGATTTCTTAACTCCGTCAGAAGGAGGAAGACACGGAGGCAGAGTGAACTTAAGTCACCAACCACAGGGCCCACAGCTTGGAAGTGGCAGAATCATTGGTCATCTGCCTCCAGATTGCCTCCTTGGGACACATACCCTGTGAGGGGACTGCAAAAAGTTTGTGAAAAAGTCAAATTAAAAGATATGTTATTTTGGTACAAAAATTTTTTTTAAATCCATGTATAGTTTTTTCATGATACACATTTTTCATAGACTGTTCAACGACTTCTCCTGTGTACAGATTTCAAAGTATTTTTTATGCTAAAAATAAACTTTTAATTCTATTCTCCACAAAAGTTTTGAAGTACCTTGTATATAGCAGGCTAGCTACTTCCTTTGAATGATCCTACAAGTTATAAGACCAAAAGATGATATATTACAGACAGAAACATTTAATCCAATATGATTTCTTATAGAGTTAGCCAAAGCTAGAGGAAGAACAGGAGTTTCAGGTGAGCTGCTTCTGTGGCACTCACCCCTTTCGGCGGCCGTGCTAGGATCTGACAGACCTCTGCTCCACCTTGTTTCTCAGTCAATATATTTAGAGGGGTCAGAAATCCATCTTCCCCCTGTAAGGATGAGGACCAAACTGGCCACTCAGAATTTTCCTTTCCCTGGATTATGGTGACCACGTTAGGGTGAGCGGTAAAATCTGAACAATTTTCCAAGACTCAGATTTGAGACTTGTGTAACCTTTGAGTTAAGAAAAGCTCCACTGAGCTTGCAAAGCTATAAAGATGGCATTAGCCTAAAGCTGCCATGAGTGGCGCATTAGGAGCTGTGATTCCTGCCATCATCTGAGCTGGGACTGGATTCAGCCAGGCCTGAAGTTAGTGCCTCCCAGAATTTCTTGCCACATAAATCAGTAATTTAATTTCAGTCTTCGCCCAGCCATGGGGAAGGGCTGCCTTATTACAGTTTATTTTGGATTTCTTTAAAAATTTTTTTTCATTTTATTTGGAGAGCAAAAAGATAGAGAAACACAGATCTTCCATCCACTGGTTCTCTCCCCAATGCTGGCAATAGCCAGGGCTGAGCTAGGCTGATGCCCGGATCCTGGAAATCAATCCTGTCTCGGAAGTGGGTGGCAGGGACCAAAACATCTGAACTGTCTCCTGCTGCCAAGTGATGTCTGAACTGTTGCACCAAGCACCCACCCTTAATTTGGGTTTTTGTCCTTACCAGTGTGCTTGCTCTTGGTGGTAGTCAACCCTAGCATGAACAACATAGAAGTTGTTTCAATATGTTAACATAGCATTAAAAAGAAAGAAATCTAATTTTGACACAATATGAAAAAGATCTATGATTGAAAAGAATACATACAAAGTTGGATATTTATATACAATACACAATTTCCATAGGAAATTCCTTAGGGCCAGTGTTGTGACAAGCAGGTTAAGATACAGCATTTTGTATCTGCACACCAGTTCTAGTCCTGGCGGCTCCACTTCCAATGCAGCTCTCTGCTAGAGTATCTGGGAAAGCATTGGAAGGTGGCCCAAGTGCTTAGGCCCCTACCACGCCTGGCTCAGAGCTGGGCATTGTGGACATTGGGGAGTCAATTAATGAATAGAAAATCTTTCCCTTTCCCCTCTCCCCTCTCCCCTGGTCACTCTGCATTATGAATAAATATTTTTTTTTAAAGCACAGTTTGGCAGAGCACTTATTCAAAAGAAGGAAATAAAGGAACCATTGCCAGTTGATCACTATGAAATGGTCACCTTCCATTAAATTCCCATTCTATTGATTAAGGAATAGAGAGAACCAGAGGGCAACTATTCGGCCCGCTTCCTCCCTCGGATCATATTGGTTTCCTAGTGCAGACTTATTCCTTCAGACCAGATTTGTCCACACAGTCTATGCTGGAGGAGACCAGTGGCCAGCCTTCCAGTAGTGGCTGGCTTAGAAGGTTTCATTAAAATATTGTAGAAACAGTTGCACTGGCTGTTTGAATGTTGACAGTGGAGAGAGCTCTGTAAGTGATACTGGACGCCTCGTGATAGCCGCCACAAACATGAAAGCAGCTGTCACGTCTCCCACCCCATAACCCTTGTTTGGCTCACCAGCTCGGATTCTGGTTCCTTTTCATTGGACCTGGTCTTTTCTAGTGACTAAGGAGATGACTGACCTGTATCAGTCATATAATGTGCCATGCACTACTTGATATATGAGCAAGTGGTATGCAAATGGGAGGATTCTGCAGGAGAAACTACACGTTTGTGATTTCAAGATCTAGGCATTTTGCAATGACCTCAGGAATAGGAAGGGAGAAGAATACGTAATCCAAAGGCTTGCCATGCTAATGTCAGATTTTCCTGTCTGTCTTCTCAACCCTGTCCCAACCCACACCCACACCCACACCCCAGCAAATTAGCCTTCCTATTTCTTTCACTGAAGCCTGTCCTAAGCGGGGCTCAGAAACATGCCTGGTGGCAGAAGGTAGCCAGCGTGGGGTTGAAGATTTTTTTCAAGATAGTGCCCAGGAAGATAAGCGCCTGTGACTAGTGACATTTGATCTGCTGCTTGCTCTGTGCAAAGTGCCTCGCCAGCGCGCTACTCAGGTGATCCGTTCAGCACCTCTCGGAGATGGGTCAGCAAGATTGCAGATGTTTTGTTAGGCACAGAGGTTGGTATTGTGACTTAACCGGAGGCGGTGCTCCTGTCAGACGTCTCAAGCTGGATTTGACATGCTGACAGGCTGGTAGTGACCTTGAGTTACTCACTGACCTTGAGTCACCTTCTTTTGTGGAAGCTCCCAGCTTACGTCCTGAAATCAGTCAGACTTGGAAATCCCAAAGAATTAGCTCCATTATGATTTATTTTCTAGTCTCAAGATAAGTCTTAAGAGTAATAGTGGTTGATTTCAAGAAAATATTTTAGGGGTGGGGGAAAGCCTGCTTTTCCCATTACAGTAAGTCCGTATTTTTTTGTTTTGCTGTTTGAGTCAGGTTTTCTTGCAGGAATCCTTAGTGTAAGAGAATGTTTCAAAGTAGTTGTGCTGGAAGTCCAAAGTGAGCTGCTATGTGGGTGGAATTTTGCTGTTATGCTCAGTATCAATGAAAGCTACAATAATTACAGGGCCTAGTGTGGTACCTGCTAGAACCTTTTATCAAATGAGCCATCTCCTTTCATGCCTGCAGGTACCTCATGAAATATACATCATCATTGCCACTTTACAAACAAAGAGATGGGTTGAGGCCGGTGCCTCAGCTCACTAGGCTAATCCTCCGCCTGCGGTGCCAGCACCCCGGGTTCTAGTCCCTGTTGCTCCTCTTCCAGTCCAACTCTGTGCTGTGGCCTGGGAAGGCAGTGGAGGATGGCCCAGGTGCTTGGGCCCTGCACCCGCATGGGAGACCAGGAGGTAGTACCTGGCTCCTGGCTTTGGATCAGCGCAGCGCCGGCCATAGTGGCCATTTGGGGGGTGAGCCAATGGAAGGAAGACCGTTCTCTCTGTCTCTCACTGTCTAACTCTGCCTGTCAAAAAAAAAAAAAAAAAAACAAAACAAAACAAAACAAAACAACAGGTTGAGTGCAGAATTTAATCCACCCAATGTCACACAATTATTAGGTGAGACAGCTGAGAATAGAACTTCGGCCTGACGGATACTTGAACCTAGCATCCACATGGGTTCCTACTGCCTTGGCCTTGTCCAATCTGCACCCACAGAGTAAAGTTACCCACGGCAAACCTTTGCTTTCCTGGGCTTCTCGTCTGGTTCCGTCACCCAGCTGTTACTCGACTAAATTGTGTTTAAAATTTTCCAGATTATATGCACAGGGTTTCGCATGTGGCCTGTAACTGTGAGAGGTGTGCCCAGTGCAGTTAATATTAGCCTGGCAAAGCCACCAATGAATTTGCAGGACCTCCTTCCATAGAGTCCCAGAGGTGGTGGGGCTGACAGAGAGAAGACTGTGGATTCAGTCCTGGCCCTAATGGATGCCATCAACACTGAGGATTGCCAGCCAGCAGCCTGAAGGATTACCTAATGGTGGCCTTAATTGGCTCTGGCGCTTGCTTGCTTGCTCGCTCGCTCGTTCTCTTATTTATTTATTTATTTCTTGCACAATTTTTCTT